AAATTGAGTACTACTTACAATATACACCACTGTTCAAAAGTTTGGGGCCAGTCTTTTTTTTTTTTTTTTTTTTGGAAAGAAATGAAAAAAAAAAAAATCAATCAGCAAGGATGCATTAAATCGATCAAATGTGACAGTAAAGACATTCCGAACGTTTCAATTTTTTATTTTAAAAATCTTTATTTTCATCAAAGAATCCTGAAAGAATGATTTCTGAAGGATCATGTGACACTGAAGACTGGAGTAATGATGCTGAAATTCAGCTTTGCCATCACAATGTGTTACATTTCAAAACATAGGCTAGTAAAATAGAAAATCGAAATATTTCACAGTAAAACTGTTTAGTTTTTTGTTTTGTTTTGACTTATTTTTAAAAAATTGTACCGACCTCAAACTTCTAATTGAATAAAATAAGATAAATAGGCAGAGGAGGGTGAACTAACTTTAGGGGAAAGGCTTTGCGATTCCTCAAAAACACATTTAAATAGTTTATGATGATATATTCGCGAAAATTCAGAATTCAGCTGGCGCACTGAACCAAACTCTGACGTTACAGCGATGAATCTTAACGCATCTGATTGGCCACTGCATTCATAAGTTCAACAGAGTCGTGTGTGATAGTGCGCAACGATCTAAAACTTATGATGCAACCGATACTTTTCATTTAATTTTATTATTAGATTTAGTTTAAATGTCAGGTGCATTTTTGACCCGTGGCCAGGGGAAGGCTCACACACGCTCCGCCTATGACAAGATACAAACACATAATAAATAATAGTAACTTGAATAATTAATTAAAATAAAAGGTTTGTTTTCCCTCCAAAATACATTTCTCCTTCGGATCATATGCAATAATATAATTCACTGAATGTGACTGCAGACCTAAAATGACTTTCTCCACATGAAGGGCGTCTTATGCGCTGTGGACAAACAGACATCCATATATTTGTGAGAATCAAACAGGGCGAGTGTTTATGGATTTCACACATTGCTTGAAGGAATAAATCAAAGTTTCACTGTTTGATGCAAGAAGTCTCGCTTCCCAATTGAGAACCTGAAAAATCTTTTAGAGAACTTCAGGGAAGAACAGGGAGACCTATATTACCTGAAGACATGCAGCTATTCATCACTATTCATCATTAAACAGTCAATAAAGAACAGTGCTTTTGGCAACTGAGCATGTAGTTACAGCATCTACCAACAGGGGCTAACAGGGCTGTTTCAAACAATCAAACCTTCACTTAAACAAATAAATGTCAAGTGTATGAAAAAGCTTTTCTTTTCCTCTCCTTCTCTATTGAGCATTAGCATCCATCTCCACCAATTTACTCTTTCCTCCACCCTGTACAGGCAGCGCAGTTTGCAGGTCGTCTGAATATCATTCCTGCTTCGCTCCACTATAACCTCCATCTCTGCCAGATGAACCCAGCTGCAGAAATTCTCATTGGTTTTTATGGTTTGTATACACAATGATGCCTGTGTATGTGAGTGTGAGGAGTCAGGCAGCGAGCTTTCACTGAGGCATGAAGAAAGAGGGAAAAAAATCAGTTAAAAAATGAATGAAAGTGGAAAAATGATTTTGGCTGCTGGGGCTCAGTTGGTTTGTCTGGAATTCTCTTTCTCTCTTTCCTCCCCCCTCCATCTTTCCCTGTCTACTTTACATCTTTACTCTCCCTCTATGTCATCATATCTCAGTGGCTTGCTTGTTTTTGGAATAAACGATTGTTTGTTTCCATTCCATTCCCTCATATGTTCCTGTTTGAAGTGGATGTGTTTCTTTCCAGAAGCGCTCAGAGTCCGACAGCATTACTGTTAGAGAGTAGATGCTATTCTATTTCTATCACTTCAGTCTGGAATTAAGTTCAGTTATTGAGTAACGTTAAATGATATATACTTTCATATAGTATTACCATCTGTACGTGTACTTTACAGGGTGTAGATGAAAGTTTAGATGGAAAACAAGGGGAGAAAGTATAGTTTAATATAGAATTTGTCTTAGTTTAACGTACTGTCACTCCTTACAATCCCCGTGAAATCAACATGCAAGTTTATTTTTTAGCTTTTAGTATGAATGTGTTAGCCTTAAGGTTATATGAATAGGCTAGTGTTTCAAAACAATTACAAAATTCACATTTAGGAGATATAAGCATTCAAAACGGTATGTCTCACTTCCTCTAAAATGGATCACAGATTTTTATGACATCACTGCAGACTTCTGCTTCTCATCACATCTTCTGTCCACTCAAAGCGTCCCGCGACCGTTGACACGTCACGGAGCAATAGGTTAGAGATGTGTGTTCGGTTACTCAAACGCTCGAGTTTTATTCCGTTTTCTAACTGTACAGTGGTTAAGAATGAAATGTCTAGAATTTATGCACACCTCTACTATATCCAACATATCATCAGCGCTTCGATTCGCTTCCATGGTGCTGTCAAGTAGGGCTTGCAGTCTGTGAGGTAAACTAAACGCTATTGGCTATTTGAAAATGGGGAGAAGCCAATCAATGTCCCGCCTTAGCTTCCTGTAACGCATGCATTCCAAGGTACTTCAGTGGGCCTTTAAGTTTACTTCTAACAAACTGAATTTTAACATCCACTTCTGCTGGTGTAAGAGAATACTTTTTTACAGATCAACCTGTGCTAGAGTGAAATAGTCCCACATACACTGAAATTTGGGTAAATGGGCTAGAAAATTTAAGGGTTACATAAACTTCAGTTAAAATGTTACATTTTGCGCCATAAATTACGACACCTTATTTACCTATGTAGTCTGCATTTCCTAAAATGAGCAGAGGGACTGGTTAAAACCAGAAAAAAAAAATGCTGTTTCTGGTAATGTTCAACAATAATGTTGATATATTTGTAAGAAGCTAATCAACAAAATGGATTATATTTATATTATAAAAAAGTAACACTTTATTTCGATGGTCCACTGTAGATCTCTACTAACTAAAAGTAACTTTGGAACAACTTGTCGACTAGCAGTCATTAGAGTATTAGTTGAATGTCTGCTTAGTTCACCCAAAAATGAAAATTCTGTCATCCTTTACTCACCCTCAAGTTGTTCCAAGCCTGTATGAGTTTCTTTCTTCTGCTGAACACAAAAGATGATATTTTGAAGAATATGGGTAACCAAACAGTTGATGGACCCTACTGACTTACATAGTATATATAAAAAAAAAAAAATACTATGGAAGTCATTGGGGTCCATCAACTGTTTGGTTAGCCATATTCTTCAAAATATCTTTTGTGTTCAGCAGAAGAAAGAAATGCATACAGGTTTGGAACAGGTTTTTGCTTTATTTTATACTCAAATAATTGGCCAGACTTTCTGCTCCACTACGGAGGTTGGAAAAATTGTGACTATTTTCAAAAACAAAACGGTCTATGGATAGAGTTGTCCGTTAACTGAAATTTTGCCAGCAAAAATGCTACATAGTCAAAAAAACTGGCGTTTTTTTTTTTAAACAATGCTCATTGCAGCTAAATAGAACATTTATGGCATAGACTAGCAGCCAGGGACCATGTTAACCAGCCAAACAATCAAACACTTCCATGATGAATGGATGGATGGACGGACCAGACATATGTGGTCATTGAAAAGACAAAAGCAGAATAATAAATGTGAAGATTTTCTCCATCCGGTCCAGGTCTGGAAAGTGCTAACTAGCTGATTAGAGGGAGACAGCAGAAGGCCAGAGAGGCACAGATGCTCAGTGTCTATGGAATAACCCTCTCAATTACAGCATGGCCAAATTGAAACGGATCCCGATTTAACTCTCTTTCCAATACACCTCACGGCAGCTTTCCCAGTCCGTCTATCTCTCTCTCCGGCGATGGCCCTCTCTGAAGCAGCACGTCCAGATAGGCTGCCAGACGCAGCAGGGAGACCATCGATTCTCAATAACACCACTAATGACTGCACACTGCCTGACGCATGCTGCCATTACTTGAGGTGAGGGCCGGGACCGAGGGCAGGCCAGAGCGTGGCACGCCAGATGGAGCCAGTTAGGGATGGTTATGAGGATGAATTGTTTGTCAGATGGGGAGAAGATAGATAGAGAGAGCAGGAGAATGAAATTGCACGTCAGAAAGACAGACAAAGATAGAGAGACTAGAGGGACAGTAACCTCGTCGTCTTATTTGCAGGACAGACCAACTTCGGTCTATTCATTTTCAGTTTCTTTCACTTCTTCCTCGCCTTCTTGATCCATCCCTCATTAGCAGGCATCACTCCCATTAATGAGTCCAGACCGCAGGTCAATACGGCACTAGCCTCAGAGTCAATACCAGTTACCTACAACACAAACACTCAAAAGCTGCACTTGCAGAAAATCGATATCGTGTAGCAGACCTGTCCCATCACCACTCTCAGCCTACTCTCTACAGCAGTGCTGACATACATGCTCTTTCCTGTAAAATATAGTGAATAGTGACTGTGGAGAATATTCTGCATAAATAGACTGAACAAAGTCTAATTGACATACAGACACTCTCTGAATTTTGTTTCCCAATTTTTTTTGTGAAAAACATCTTCTGAAAAGCAATCCGGTTCTGTGATGAAAAGTCACCCAAAATTCAGTGGAAAATAATGTTTTGCATAAAGAAAATGAACCCCATTATTCAAGGATTTTTTGCATAAACATTTAAATTGCAAAGTACATATGTAAAATACAATTTGAAGTATAAATCATCTGCTGCACTGAATCTAAATTGTGCTAATTAAAAATAAAATAAATACTTGAAAAAATATTTGGTAATATTATAAGACTAATCAGATACTTGTCTTGTTATTGTTGTAATAAGAATAAGGTTTTCTTTCTCAATATAGGGTCAATGTGCTTCATTGTCATGAAAATAAATGTGGAAAATGCACAAAAAACTACTTATGACTTAGACATTTCTTAGTAAGATCAACCCATCCTTGTGTATGAAACATTGCACACTTCATCAACATTCAGCGAGTTTACTGAAGACTATAATTAAATAGCAGACAGGTATGCAGATATAAGGTCCAACCTTTATTCCATACATTTTTAAACCATGAATGTTCATTTTTTCACGCCTAAAGCTCTACTTGTTTTGTATACAAGAGTCTAAGAAAAACAACTGCACAACACCACAAGGTCGACAGAAAGAGTCTATTGCCACCCCAACCATTCCAATATGTTTCCCAGATGTCCAGGTTTTGTGGCTGGAGAAGTGTTGACTGCTAAAACAGTTCCTTTATGACCTGGAGGTTTATAGCTGTTTGTTTCATTGGCTCTTAATTGGACAAATGAATAACAGGTATCCAGGTTCTCACTTTAGAACTCCATTTTGACAACCGTCCAATCAGAACTCTCTTAATCCTCTTTGCATAGATTGCATTGCCATGACCGCACCCCCATTTGATTGGACAGCTCCGTCACCATGGTTTTCAACCTGGAAGTGGTTCAGTTTAATTTCATTGTTTTTTTAAGAAACATTTAAAAAGCCTAACAAATGTACAATGTCATTTCGTTCCAAGTAATATCAACAAGATATTTACAATATCTTTAAATTTTACATAAACCAAACAAGAATATTGTAATGCATATTTGTCTGCATATCTCAAAAAACAAAAGCAAAACAAAAAACTCCGAAATGTAACTTTGTACATGGTCAGCACTGAATATCTCCAGGTACCATAGAGCAAATCAACTGTCAAACAGTGAGTTCATACCAATTCAGATATGTAGACATCCATATCCTGCAGCTCACTAGGATAAATACAGGGCAGAGAAAAAAATGAAACTTAATGCAAATACATAAAAAATGTCTGTACATGAAGGATAGGAAATGTACAAACAAATTTCAGAATGTCTTTCCACTTGAAAACTGAAAAGGCATTGGATTAATAATATATTAATATCAAATTTCTGTTTGGTAGTTCACGTTTATGTCTTATGTTCGGAGCTACCAAGAGATGGAGCTACCTACTCATTTCTTCTACTCCAATCAACTAAAAAAGCCGGTTGATGTGCTTGTTCCAAGGTACAAATCTTTGTACAAATTACACATTTATTTATCGTTTACCCTACTTTGTGTGAAAATAAGTGCATGTTGCCTGTGTCCAACTCAAGTGCGGCATTTTCCTTCCTAGTACGTTACCGTGCCTCCACTTCTTTGGGGTTGCGTGACGGTGAGTACTCCCGAGGGTCCTGGGTGGTGATTGGCGTAGTCCGTCTTGGTGACGCTGGTCTGGCAGCACCAGAGGGTACCAGAGGTGGTGGGGCACTTAGTGCTGCAGTTGGGGGTGTCCGGTTAAGAAGTCCATTATGTCCTGTTGAGGGGCTAAGCCTTGGGTACGGCATCCCACCAAGGTGTGACATAAATGGTGGCATGTGTGGTAAGTGTCCTTCGATGGGCGACTGGTGAAGTTGGTGAAGCCTTGCCCGATCCAGTTCCTCTCGTAAATGCATCCGTTCCCTTTCTTCAGCCTGTTGCCTCAGTCTCTCCTGTTCCCGCCGAACTTCCAGAAGGTGTTCGTGGTGCGAGTAGTCATGTGCCTCCCGATCCCGATAGGCCCGTTCTGGATCATAGATGCCAGGGAACCGGTGTCCAGGCTCAGAGCGAAGCTGAAAGTCCATGCGCCGCTGAAGGTCGAGGTTTCGGTAAGCCTCTCGTAGAGGATCCCACGAGAACGCCGGATGTGGAAGGCGGTCTCGACCTGCTGCAAGAGGGCTGACTCCCATAAAAGGTGCCATGCGGGTGCGTTCAAGCGCATTCAGACTTCCCATTTGATGCATGGCACTAAGAGTGAGTGGCAGTGAGTGTGGCATGGGGACTCCGTGAAGCGAGGCCGGTGTCGGAGGGTCACTACAGCGAGGAGATGGCGGAGGAGGCTGATGGGATAGTACAGGGTGGTGATGAGCTATTGGTGTTGTTTGATGAGGTGGAGGAGGGACTTGAGGCTTAGTGGCAGCTTCACTTCCAATCACCATCACGTCCTGCTCTTCCTTGCGTTCCTCCTTGATCTTCATGTCGTTCTTCACCTTGTGTAGCAGATCCCCTGAGCTGGTTTCCTTTCTATCCCTCTCACTTTCTTTAATCGGTAGCGGTTGTGGGATACCCATTTTGATTCCTGCATCGTTAAGGACATTTTTCGAGTAAGGAGAGGGCGATCGGTGAATGGATTTAAGAGAGTCATCTGAGGAACGCCTGTCTGTGATCTCCTTCCCTGGTGAACGACTTTCCTTCACCTTTATGTCTCCTAAAATGCCTGCCTCTCGCTGGCGCTCCAAATGCTCTTTCTCAGTCTCTCGGTTGCGGTCGGCACTGCCGCTGCGGTGTCTGCCAGAGTCAGTCGAGTTCTGGCTATTTGAGCGGATCAGGTTGCTGATCTGGTAGCTGACTGGAGCGGAAGCTGGAGATGAGCGGTTTGAATGGCGATTACGATCTATAGAGTCTCTGCAACAGGAAAGAACCCATCATTAGTTGAATTAGTAGACAAAAAGAAGGCAAAATAAGATGCTTTGCTCCATGAAATCAGCAAAACCAACCTGTCCTTTTCTTTCTCTTCTTTCCCAACAGAAGAGTCCCTTTTTTCTCTCTCCCTTTCTTTTTCTTTCTCGCGCTCCCGGTCTCTATCTCTATCGTGGCTGTTTGCAGAGCTGCTTCTTTCTGCATCTGCAGATTTGGGCCACTGTGGAGGGGTCGGGAAGGAGGGCGGAGTACGGTGCAGCCGATTCCAGGTGTCGTGATGAGGACTACTGAGACCATGCAGCCCTGGACCCTCTTTGGGTCCAAAAACACTGTTGGCCCCTGAAATAACAAGAAACATAACATCAGTGTATCCGATCACAGTCCAGTTCTATCAAGGTTCTGCATACACAAACTGAAAGGTTAATGGGATAGTTTCTTCTACAAATGGGGTACACCAAGGGCTGCTTTTTAAAACTTTTCAGCAGAGAACAAATGAATGACCCAGCGGGCTCAAAAGCTATGAAAAGCAAAGCGTTCCATAGAGATTCTATTTCAATGCAATCAGTTTCACTAAAAGAATTCCCGTTCAGCCAATGAAGGAAGAAGGGAGAGGAAATGAGATATGGCGAACCCCTACTTTGCGAGAAACTAATAAATGCAAGAGCAATGATAAACCAGTTGGGTTGCGAGTTTGAGTTGGGGTGTGAATTTGGCAAAGGCCTGTCTGCGGTAATGCCTGCCTCCCCCTGTTTCCCTTAACTCTCATTTTGCATTTGCAGCAAAGCTAAGTGCCTTTCTTTCATTCCCACCTCCTTTTTATTCCCTCTGCACTCTCTGTGGTCTACAGCTAAGCTGTGCTGCACTGAGCTGAGCTAGAGGCCGGGGGCCGGGGCTTACCGAGGGTTGGGTTGCCTAATCCACCGAAGGCACTGCTTGAAAGGTTGCTGAGGCCGCCAAAGGTACTGGAGCGACTGAATGGATCTGCAAAATGCCAAACAGGGATTAGCGACGCGGGGCCGGAGGTGCCCGACCATTCCAACCGGCTTTTCTCTTACAAGCCAGCTTTGTTTTTTGCGTCACTGTTACTGCTGCTATTCTAACTCCCTAAGGGTTGTTTATTTCTCCCAGTAAGATTGTTGGAGAGTGTTCACTGGCTGCGGATTAGGTAGCGAAAGGTGCTGGCATGAAGAGCGATACCTGATTGGAGTGAGATTGCTTCGGACATTTTGAAATGTCTGATGTGGAAAATGATTAAGTGAAAGCTAGCAAAACAGCTTGTGTGTGTCCCATTTCCTCTAAAAGTTTATGTGATCCTTGCATCTACTTACCCCTTTCCCCTATTAAGCTATGTATTAATACTTACCTTGCTAGGGATGAAGGAGCCAAAATAATCCATGCAGTTGCATTAATATATAATCAAATTAAATACAAAACAAACAACCTCCGGCCCACAGAACTAAAAACACAATTCAGTGTTTTCTATGTGGAACATGCCTTTAAATTCTTGAACTCCAGGAATGGATTTATGACTAATCCACAGTGTTCTTAAATAAGTAAGCAGTCATTTAGCAAATGCTTTTATGCCAAGAAATTCACAATACACTAATTCACATGAACAATCCCCCTTGGAGCAACCTAGAGTTAAGTGCTTTGCTCAAGGGCACAATAGTGATAAGTTCTTGACTTAGAAACCAGAAGCCTACTGATTACCAGTCTCGAGCTTTAACTACTAGGCAACACCTCACCCAACTCCGCATTTTAGTTTTCTCTCCATTTCCTTTGGGCCCCAGGTGTTTACAAATTCAAATTGGATTGACTTGAGAGCTCACTGTGTGAAATCAGCATTCATCACTAAACTCAAATAACATATCTGATAGAAACGGTAGGGGAACACTATCTGAACGAAGCAGAGCCCAGAAAAAGGGAATGATAGTAAAATATACTTGTACTGTATATTGTTGTACAAAGGGAAACAAAGGTTGAGTTTTGGTCAGAATGGTTTCTGACACAAAATGTGTGTGTGTGTGGTAATTTGGTGAATAAAAGACATAATAAATAATAATGATATAAAAAAAAGTCATTGCACACTGTATTATATCATTGTACTGCTTTATATTATATCTTGAAAATAAGTGTATTTTGTCTTGTGGTAATGACTTGTTTTTGCTTTTTTATACACCAGCCTGTTCAGCAAATAAGTAACTTTCATGCAAGATAAAATATCAAACCAAAGTATTTTTGCTGAAGTTTATCCTGTTTTAAGCATGTTAAGGTATTTTTCCAAACACTAACAAAACAAATGTACTTTTTATATTAGATATTTTATTGTTAAAAAACATTTTGAAAGTTGAGTTAAGGGTAAAATTAGAATATCTGACCCTTTGGGGAGACACTTCTGAGCCGACTGATACCAGACTAATAGGCCTTAGAGTAGATATTATATTTTATTTGACGAGAACAAAAACAAGGCTATGAGGGATATTAGTATAATATTTTCAATTTGTCAGGTTATCTAAAGGTTCTACATTAGGCCATAACTGATGTTTACAATATATATTTGGAATTTGGTTTGGGAAATTTGTGGAAAGCCGTGCTTTAATGGCTGAATGATCATCACTTGAGGTGTGCAGCCCTACAACATATGGAACAGATTGCATTTCTGCCATTCTTTGCCTTGTTTATGTTCGCATTAAATAAAAAGTGATTTCAACATGAGATGAATGTATTAAATTTGAATTACAGAAGGACATAGAGAAGAAGAACTATTTAAAATGGTGGTTTACTTACACTTACCTGCCAAATGGCTAGGAGGCAGGAAGCCGGCGTGGTGAGGAGACGGCCCATAGGGTGAAGCAGCTGGATGTCCCGATCCTATAGAATACAGTAAACAGTTAAAAAGGCCAAACAGTTACATTTTTCTGTTGTAGATGTAGTCTCTCTATATTGTAAAATAAGACAAGAGACTAAGGTTAGTTTAAATACTTTCTCCTATTCCAGTTTAATGTGGAGAGACAACTAGAAGCCAACCTGGCTCAACCAAAGGCATGTTTAGAGGGAAACTGAGTAGTTTACCCAGACAATAAAAGGACAGTGATGTCTTAGATTGAGTGTTCAGGTTGCATTTCAAAGGGTCAACCGTCTATTCATATGTCATTTGTTAGTGTGTATCATTAATGAAGAAACCAATTACAAGCTCCTTCATGACACCACGCTGCATAATTACAATCCAAAGGGCAGACACGCTCTTGTTGCCCTTCAACAAAGAGCTACCAGTCAATTATATCAGGTAAAAGCATTTATATTCATGCCCGTAGCCCCAGCGTTGAGCCAAGACAACGTACAAAATAACAACATGCAAATGAGAAAATAAAAATCCATGTTTATTATACTGGAGCCATACCAATAAAGATATTGCAGTATAATTTGCAAGATAATATATACATAATCTGTGGGGGCACTATCTTGATTGGATTATAAATATAGTTTATAAGTAAAATGAAAATCGCTTTTATACAAGTAATATCTTAAAGTGGTCATGCAGGTCTAGCAGTGATTTCAGCATCAGGCTTTCCAATAACAGCAGGAAAGGGAATTATTTCCAGGAACTGTTGTGTAACTGCAACTGTTTTTATCTAAAACTGTCATCTTTTTCATTTCAAGAATTTAAAGTAAATATGACGTGGTTACACTCTATTACACTAAGTCTTATTAGAATATTAGTAGACAGTGTTAGAGTTAGGATTAGTAGGATAAGTTGACATGTAGTTGCAATGTAACGTACAGTATATTTAGTAGAATATCTGCTGAGGGAGCATCAAAATGAAGTGTTGGCAGGTATTAAGCAGACAGTCTACTAATACTCTAATGTAGTTGCAAAGTTACTTATAGTTAGTAGAATGTCTAAAGTGGACCATTTAAATAAAGTGTTACCTGAAATGTTGGTTGTTACTCATTTTACAGGACATTCAATGAGAAGAAAAATTGTACGGTAGGATTTGATTTTCAGCATAACCTTATGCATATTGAGACTAGGAATGTGTACTGAGAGTAAATAGAGTCAAGTTTGATTTCATGTTAAGTTTGGGAGTTTTCTTCACACACACCTGTTGATGAGAAGAGGGGTCTGGCCAGGTCATGAGGGTAGGGGAACCCAGGGAACACGCCTGGAGCTGGAGGACGGCTGAATAGATCAAGTTTTCCATTCATGTCCAGTTTATGCGGGTCCAAGTGCATCTGCTTTTAAGGGACAAACGTCATTTTGAGGTTATATTCAATGCGACTATGATATATTTAAAAAGTACTATTTATTTCTTTATTTGTAAACCTTCCTTAATGAGGGATAATTACTCAGTTAGACTTCAATGCATGAATCATTACAAAGTGTACTTATGCATTCTTGTACTTCGCTCACACTAAAGGCTACACAATATTAAAGAAAGAGACAAGGAAAAGTCCTTTCTGAACCTTTTCTTGACTTCTAAGAGAACTTACTTTCATCTTCTGCTGATGATGGTAGATCTGCCAGGCGATTTGAACATGCACAGCACACCATTTACCTGGCTTCTGACATGAGTGAAGAATACATTTCAAAGCATTAGTAAAATGGCGGTAGCATTTAATGTGTAACATGCAGGGATTTGAAGGAAAATTAAAATATGATGCTTACTCTTACTGAAGTCCTAAAAGGATCTGTTATCTGTTAGGAAAAGAAATAGAGAAAATAGGGAAAATTTCAAGTTCACGAAATGCTGAAAACATCACAATCCTCATTAGTTTGTAATGGCTAATCTCTTAGCGGACGGCTTACCCTCGGGTCCTTCTGAAGGAGAGTGTGCGGGACCGTTCCTGGTCTTGCTGCAACATCAATAGGGTTTGAGGCCTGGAGAGAAAATGAAGACCTTTTTAGAAAAAGCTAATGGAACAATGGACACGGAGGTCTGTTTCTTTACTATTTTCGATTATGAACAGTTTAGAGATATTACACTGCATTGCATTTTTGGCTGCTTGGTGTGATATGACTAATGTCTACCTGGCACAGAAAACATCTTCATTTTTAGGCCAGAAAACTCTGTAGCTTATCCAAATTTGAATTTTGCAAAATTCATACAGAGGTTTTGTGGCTTGTAGTCTGTGTGTTAACTTTACGGTAATCTACTGTGTGCTAGTTTAAAATGAACTTTTTGCAGGAATATGCATTTAAAAATGACTCGCAAATGACCAAATCATGGTTCATTGATGTCATGTAACTAAAGCCTTTAGGCTATTTAAATAGAATATAAGCCTATTAAACTCAATGCTTTAAAAGGAAACATGTCAGCTCAGGAATCTGTGAATCATCATGGGTGTAGCAAGTTTAAAACTTCACTTTAGTCCCAGGTTTCATGGATGCCACAGTCATTTATTCTAATAAACTTCATACTTGTTGGAAATTCCAGACTCGCTCTACCTTTGACTGGTAGCTAACATAATAGTGAGAGTTATTTGAGAAGTGCCAGGTAAAAACCATTACACACCAAGTGAGTGAAAGCTATACACATTGCAAAGAGACACACACACACACACACACACAGCTTAAGACCACAGTGCTAAGTCTAAAGTTAACACAAAAGCCTCCAGCAGGTTATTGAGCCTATGCCTCTTTGCATAATCCATTAGTGGAGAAAGTGGCAGTGGTAGATTTCTCCATCTGTCTGGAAATGAAGCTGTGTGGGATTCGAGAGCACTCTGAATACTAATAGTGAGGTGAGGCTGGGCTCTAGATCAGGGGACATGCCACATTTATACTCATTATAGAGAACACAGAGAATGTAATGTTAACAATACCAGGGATGCACACGGAACAGGTAAACATATTAACAGTGTGGAAGCTCTTGTGACCAAAAATGATGCTAGATTAGTAAAAAAGAACTGTTCTATGACTGGTCAATCACCCGTGATCACGACACCCTGAACAGCATACAGAGTTCAAATACTGTACCTAATTTCTCAAATTTAATTAACATTACTTTTGATTTTGCTTTTGGCTAAATAATTTTTTTTTATTTTGGTTCCGATAAAAAATTAATTTCGGTGCATACTGTAAAACATTGGAGAGGAAATTTAACTTCCATTCTCATAACTGAAAAAGACTTTAGACTAATCCTATGTTTTCACATAAATATTTTCAGGGTCAAATGGCATCTGTAGAAAGCGTTGTTTTTTTCCTTATGCTCACATCTGTGTGATCACACTACCAGCCTTTTATGGGGCATATTTTTCAAAAAAATTTGACATCTTTATCTCGTAATCTTGAACCAACTACAGTACATGCTCTCCTTCTCGTTCTGCTCAAGTCAAAACAGTTTTGTCTACATTCCCACATGATGTGTGTTAAGGTCTAACCTTTGGCTGGAAGGCGCCTTGCAATGAACTGAAGGGCCCTGAATGTGGAAGCAATGGAGGCATGCCCGGCATTGTTGGCGGGTAGGAGGGAAAGAACTGCAAACCCCCCCCAAAAAAACATGCAAAAACTTTACAAATAGGCATATGTCTCAAAGTTAACATAAATGACAATCTGATTCATTTTCAGTCAAAGCAAGGGTAATGCAGTCAAAAAAAGTTGGCACTTACATTTGAATGTCTCAAGAAAGGATTGTCCAGCTTTGGGGCGTACTTGTCGAACTGAGAGAAGGAGAGAGAAAGAGAGAGAGAGAGAGCACAAATTAAAAACATATCAACAAAATCAAAGGCATCTGTGACCAAAAACATGAGAGCTTTACTGCAGTGTGCTTACATAGTCAAATAAATAGCAGATGAAGCTCAAATAAATTACACCCTTTTAATAAAACAATTACACAGTAAAACAGCCATTCAATGTCACATGAAAGAAAACCACAGCAGCCGCAGCTGGCACAGGGTTCACAGAGCCGACTCGGAGTGTGGGAATACACTCACACAAGAGTCCAACCAGATTGCTAAACAAATGAAAGGCACCCTTCACTTCCAATTAAATTGACGTGTCATTCCTTTACAGTTTAGACATACATATAGAACAGTAACTCTTTCAAGTCAAGTTCTGGTTAAACAGTGCAATTTGAGCGTAATGATAGCAGTGTAACTATAGGATAGCAACTAGAAAAAGCATGTGAATGTGGCGAGAATCTGTATTTGACGAGTTAGGAAACAGCTGTAATGGTTTATGATCATTTTTAGACAGTTATATAAAATGTGATGGAAATAATGGCATAGCTTTAATGTTAATTTTTCCTTTTTTTAATCATTGTAATAAAATGCATAAATGTTATAAAATTTGTCCATAAACATTAAAAAAATCCATACTAAACTTTTTTTAAAAAACATTTTACTATTATGTTAATAAAGCCTAAGTGTCTAAGTCATTTTAATTCAACTGGTTCAAGTTTTTAGCCCTCCAAGTTCAAGTCAATTCTTTTACATAAACATTCGAATCCTTTACAAACCCACTTATATAGTGTTGTTTCTACAGAAGCCTATCATCTTATGTCTCAGGTGGTGGTAATAAAAGTGGATAAACTCTTGTGTGAGTGTGTGTTTTCTATAAAAAGCAGGATGTCTTGAACCACAGCCCACTTATGATATAGACTTTACTGTATATTCCAACAGATCAGCATGCATAAGCTGCTTTTATCCTGCATTGTATGAATGTGTGGTGATAATTAGCTTAAATCAAACACATGAGTTTGCCCTGGCTGAGAAAATTGCTGATCTGGCTTCCAATTGCACTTCTGTGATCCTTCTGAGGGCCGCACACCTGCTTTATGGTTAACACTTGCCGAGTAAATACAGCAAAGGTTTATAGTGGTCTATAAAAAAAACAGTGCTTCATAATTCACAGCCCCTGTGTCAGAGCTTTATAACAAACAGCTTTGGCAAATCAAGGCTCAATATTACATCTGTAAACAATTAAATCTTTATACAAGAAAAGCTAGGAGGAAGGGAAGAAAGAAAAGGAAACAAGAAAGACATTATATAAAGTGTGTTACTGTTCAAACTCAACATGAAATGGCATTCGCTACCCACTTTACTTTCCTGAACTGACACATTTTCGAATGTAACAAAAGGTAGTTTTCCTTTGTCAGTAAAGGATATTTCTTCTTTGGAATAACATATACACCAATGAATTAAGCACAATAAAACCAGGAACATGCATAAAGGAAGTAAATTGGGTTATTTTTTTCATCTCATGTTGACTTAAACATTTAAACACAACATTTCTTTCGTATGCATAGACTCTTAAACCAAGCACAAATGCTTTATAAATCAATCATCAGTGTATTTGTCAGTAGAAAACATCACATTTAAATCACATGGTGTTAAAAGAAATTCAACAATAGCAGTTCAGCAAACAAGACATCTCGTAAAACATTTGAGGAAGGTCATTCAGCATTCAGATTCATCGCGATTTCAGTGTTTCAATTTCTGATGATGAAACAGTTCTGTAACCCATACAAGAATCCAAACAGCAAACATATGGCATTGTTTTAAGCTAATATGCAAACAGATTTTAATCTTTGGAGATGGTAATCTATGATGAAAAAATGCTTCACTTTTCATCTAGTGCTCTGACATAATATCTTTTGGATTGGTTGACGGCAGCGATAGTATGCAGATAAGACGCTCTCGTTCCTGTTTGAATACGTTTCACAAATGTGAATGCACGTTATATGGCTAGCTAACTTTGAGGAGCTGAATTTATCTGATTACAGACTGCCAAAGTTTGCCTCTAATAGCCGCTTTGCACACGGAAGCAATTATGCTTTATCAAAACAACCCCGTTGATGTCATGACTTTCATCTGCGGTGAGGTCATTATGTTTCGACCGCAAGCTTTGAATGTGTCACATAGAATGAGTTCTGTCTGTACCTCAGTCACGCCATAAGACTCTGTCTGCCTCCTGTTTTCCTCAAACAGCCCCCAGCACTCAGACACATCACCATTCTGCTCATATGAAAGCAATAAAACATCTCTGGCTCACACTATAAAAGCGCAATGGGTACGGCATGTCAACATGGCAGCAAAAAGGGTTTTTATTAGGGAAAGAGCTACAATATTTGCGGTTGTCATGGGACAATTGTTTATCTTGTTAGGATGATGGGTATCGCTTATGTCACTGAGATGGTGCTGTAAAACTCCTCAACCCTTTGGCCTCTGTTTAAGATCTGGCCTGGTTCAGGATAAGCCTTAAGCCTCAGTAGTGGGTTGTATTACTTATTACACAACAATTAGTTCCGGTGCGCTATTAGGATTGGATGAACGCCGTTCCGCTTCACAGTTTGCATCAGTCGGCTTGTCAGTGTTTGCAATGTTCCAAAAAAAGGCTGCCAGTCTGTGCGTTGCTCCCTTAACATTGAACTGTTTTCGTGAAAGGAGCAACAATAGACGAAATAATGTGCCAAATATAAGTTACTCGTGCTGTTAGCCTGAATATCAGCACGACTGTGATTCGGCCGTGCTGAAATTCAGTACGTCAACACGATTGTGAGTGTCAATTGCTGGAAGAATATGATGGCCGCATAGAAAGGGCTTGTTTTAAATAGGTTGGAGAATTTTAAGGGGGAATAGGGAGGTAAGGAAGGGTGTAAAATCTATCCGTTTTTTACTTATCCTCACATTTCTGGCTGGGGTACGCACCATTGGAGGTGCAGTGGGCGGCCCAATGATGGCTGCCGGGGGCAGACTGGCAGGGAAAGGCGTGAAGGTGTGCTGATGCGTGTGTTGGTGCTGGTGCATATGCTGATGTTGGTGAAACTCAGCCCGGAGGAGCGACACAGGGCCCAACGGCGACCCTGTCGCCCCTGGAGCCGACCCCCGACCTCGCTCTGAACTCTGAACCAGGAAGCGGTTGTTCAGCTCCTGCCGCAGAAGATCATGCTCTGCAAGAAAGGAGAGCGAAGGGAAAAAGGAGGGAAAGGGGGGAGATGGGGAAGACATGGGAGGGAAAAGAAAAAAAGGCAAGGGCGGCCAGTGAGTTTTCACAACAGCGGTAGGAAGAAGCGAAAGAGGGTAGTCACCTGGCTTTCTCTGTTTCTCCAATTCAAGGTGTGAGGGTTTTCTACGTGAGGACTCATTGGTGGAGGTAAGAGAGTTGCCTGTGACAATGTGCCAATCAGAATCCCCGAATGAGGCTGGCAATACATGATTGGTTGGTTGAAAGATATCAACAGGCTGGTATCTAAAGACAAGAGAGAACCAAGAGTCACCTCAGCAGAAAACACACACACACTTGCCCCGACATACACAAACTCTTATACTGACTTAAAGGGATAGTTCACCCCAAAAGGAAAATTCTGTCATCACCCTCATCCCCCAAACCTGTATGAATTACTTTCTTCAGTGGAATTTTGACCAAAATATATAGGTAAATATTACAATAAATAAAAACAAAAAGTGTGTTCCCCAAAAGAAACAAATGCATACAGGTTTGCATACAAATTTTTCATTTTTGGGTAAACTATCCCTTTAAGACCCTTTTTAAAGTTTAAAAAAAATCTTTGAGCACTTGCTTGATGCTTTTAAAAGACATCAATAAATACTTTTAATTTAAGAGTCTACACTTGGTTTCTTACAATAAACTAAGATATGTTTTAAGTGATGGCAGCTAAAGAAAGGATTACACTGTAGATGCTAACGGCATGTTAAAATATACTCTTTTTTTCTTAAATACCTTGTCATTCTATACTTGATCTTTAGATTTCGAACAGCATGTCGCACTAAACTGTCTGGAATTGGCATCTAAAAGCCAATAATCAACAAAAAAATAACACTTACCGTAAAAGGAATGGCAGAGATGGAGAGGACAGGTATAATTTATCATCAACATTTTTGCATATAGCATATATTGTATCAAACAAGGCATTTAAAATCTGATATAATTGTCAAAGGTGCCTGAGGATCCAGATATGAGAAAAGAACAGTGTAGCTGACATCCTTCTTTATTACAGGTATCATATACTGTAGAAACTGGATATAAGTCACATTTTTCACATGCTGACCTCTGATGCCTGCCTCATCTCGTCTCGCACTTAAAAAAATCTTGAAAAGAATGTGATTTAAGGGCAGTTCTGTTGTTCCTGAATACTGTGCCTGTAAAGCTGTCTTTAACACAGGTTATTTGTCAACGAGCAGAGGAATTTTATTCCAAGCAATTAAAGTACAGCAACTGCAGGAACAGTCACTAGATTTGTGGGAACCAAATGTGTACAAATTTAAGACTAGTATTACAATATGCTAATTTAAGTCTTCAAAATGGGATAAATGTAATACATATGACGAATAAACAATGTTTATATTTTTGTGGTCTCACATACCTTTAATTTTATAGGTCCAAGTAAAAAAAAAAAAAAAGCACACTCTTAGGGCACTAACGCACTAGAAAAAACTACAACAGAGTGTTTGAGGAACACAAATGCATTAAATGTATTCCGCAGGTCTGGTAAAAACTGGACCCTCCATTCTCATTGGTCAATGGATGATAATGTCAGAGTAAAAGTTCAGTTCTGCAAACATTTGAATTTTTCCTCTACATCCTTGAAAGGCACCTTTTCAATGGATTTGCAGCATTCTTTCGTGCAGGGTAAACTGTAATGTGTACACACCCATGTGCAAATGCATTATTTTTTTTATCAATTTGTTATATTGCAGAACTGACGGAACCTACTGGTTGTCAAAAATATTCTCAAATCTCACACCAACTACACCATAAAAAGTCTCGGTGAGGGGATTTTTTTTTTTTTTTACCTGGATAGGGTGGTCCGGCAGGGTGTCCTGGCACCACCAGGCTGTTGGTCGGAGGAGGCAGTGTAGCGGGGTTGGCGAACATGGCCGGATGGCTGGAGATGTGAGAGGGCGAGTGAAGGGAGTAGTGGGAGGAAGGCAGACCGGCTATGGAGAGAGGAAGTGGAGGAGCAGGAGACGGGAGGCCGCGGAGGTGATGAGGGGAGTGAGACAGGTGGTGTTTGGGAGGAAGATTGGAAGGGTTGTTGCTGTGATTACAAAGGAAAGACAGGATATAAGAAACAATATTCATATTAGGACAGTTTATGAGCTTAAAGCTGTCATGAAGTTCAAATATTACTGTCGAATTTTACAAAATAAAATTAGATTTTTTTTGACAGGAAAATGTAACATTTAATTACATATATTTATATATGTCATGGTCAGAATTACTGGCACCCTTGGCAAATATGATCAAATATGGCTGTGGAAATAAATCTGCATGGTGTATCCTTTTGATCTTTAAAAAAATGTTACCTTTCATTGTCAATTAAAACAATTGAAAGTGGGAATTGAAATCACATTATGAAATCAATGATTTTCTCAAAAACACATTGGCCACAATTATTGGCACCCCTAGGAAAATATAAAATATATCTGAAGTATATTCCCATTCATATATATTTTTTTTTTTGCAAACCAGGGACTAGGTGACTAGGAACATGAAATTGATTGTTGATTGTTAAAAAAAACAAAAAAACAAAAAAAAAACATGTCTAACAAAATAGCTAAAGCATTGACAATTCCCACTTCCACCATCAGGGCAATATTTAAGTTCTAATCAATTAAAGATGTTACAAATCTACCTGGAAGAGGACACGTGTCTATATTGTCTTAATGCTCAGCGAGGAGGATAGTTTGGGTAAAGGTATTATACAAAAAAATGACTAACCTGATGTCGTGAAGACTGCTGTAAGGCGAAGGATGATGATGATGACTGATGATTGGCCGGCTGTGGTGTGACGGGGGTGGGAGTCTGTGCTCCAGTGAATGTGATTGGTTCCTCAGGAGGGGAGGGGTGGGGATATGGGGCGCAGATTCCTTCTTGATACTGAGAGGGTTTGGGGAGATAGGGTGCGGTCTAGGCGGGGGGGCTGCCGCCGCAGCAGGGGCAGGAGACCCCGTAGGGGGCGACGCAGGAGTCGGACTTGAGATCGGCGGGACAAACGAAACGTCGTTACTCTGTTCCTGGCTACGCTGAAGGCCAGACACTTTGGTCGAGCTGGAAGTTTTGGACCCGAGATTCTCATTCGTTGGCGTAACTAGAAAGGAAAGAAAGACAAAACAGAGATAAGTCACTATATTTCATTCGGATGTCAAATGCAGTTTAGATGCTTTAATTGATGTAGCTGGGGTAAAGAGTGTAGTCTTCAACTGTAAAGGTTCATTCACACCAGGAGCGATAACTATTAAGATAGCTATAACTATATCAGGTTCCATACAAACGCATGATACCGTTCTGTTAATTAGAAGTACACATTGCAGTTATGTTGTCTGCCGCTTTAAATGCTCAAGCTATTTAAAGGGTAGGGCAGGATAGATTCTAATTGGCTGTCCATGTTTTTATTGTTCATCATCTGGGAAAAAAAAATTCTTAAAGTGATATCAATCAATCCTCTGTGAGGTTATCATTATAGTTGTGGTAAAGAACTTCCAGAATTTCATAGAACTAGTTATTGTCTTTGGTGTGAATGGGCCTTAATGCTGCCTTTATTGACAGTATTTTGAAACAAATCACAAACCACACTCAATACAAAACACCCCCTCAAAGCAACCGATAATTTGAGCCATACTGAGTGGATTTTGTCCACACCAGAGGACAGGGAAAGCACCACAGGGTTGTTGTTTTTTGTGGCTCAGGTGCATGCAAGCATCTCAAATCAAATGTGCATGCAGTTTGGCACAGCTGAAGACATGTAACCTATAGCGTGGGATTGGTTTGCCAATCCATCCATTAGTTTGCAGCAGGGTGAACAGAATCCAGCTGCGATGCCTTCTCTGCTCACTGTGCATAATGCTGGCATACACCATGACACCAAATACATCCACATCTGTCTGACTGTCTTCCTCTCTGTGCCTCATCTCTCTTATCTCCCCTTTATCGTTTTATCCCAGGTTCCTTTTCTTTCTGTATTTCTTTCTCTCTCCATGGGTTTTATGAAGTGTTTAATCAGGTCATTTTCATGCTTGACTATAATCAGATGATCCAATTTTCTGCAAGCAATCCAGTCAGAATGAATAAATCAGAGCTAATTAAAGTTAAATGCCGTTCCCATTCATAGATTTACAGAGCACACAGTCTGCCATGAAATAATTATGTTTCAATTGTGCTGTGAAAAGGGATCATGCACCCTTTATACTGGCCTTTCAGAGTCCCCCTAGCTCACTCTCTCTTTTTCACAAGATATTTCCAGGGATTTCAGTAACACTGCCACAGTCTTTGTACAGACTACAGAGGAACTTCTGCTTTTGCTCAGTTAATCGGAGTGCAGTGCAAAAAATAAGCTTTTACATTAAGCGTCCTACCGACTATAATGTTTCAAAATGTAAAAGCGGCAACACTTTATTTTGATGGTTCCTTTTGAACATTCTGTTGACTTCAAGTAACTTTGCAACTACATGTCAACTAACTCTCATTAGAGTATTAGTAGACTGTCTGCTTAATATCTGCTAACTCTTTATTGTAATGGTCCTCCAACAAACATTCTACTGACTATAAGTAACTTATAAGCAACTACATGTCAACTTATTCTAACCCTAACAGTCTACTTATACTCCACTAACACTCTAATGGGAGTTAGTTGACATGTAGGTGCAACGTTACTTGTAGTCAACAGAATGTGTTAAAGGGACGGGACCATCAAAATAAAGGGAAACCGTAAAAAAAATTGTAAAATAATTAAGGGGTTAGAAAAGGAAGGTTCACCATAAAATCATCTATAAATATCCAAATTCAATACAACAGCTAGTGTACATACACATATAAATATAATATTTATACATTTATATCAGCCATCACTAATCTGAACAAAAGTTTTACATAAAATATTATAGAATTTGAATATATGCCAATTATTGCATATTGATCTCGACACTGAAAAAAGTGTTGGCTTATTGACCAGAATCTAGATGTCGGTGCATTACTAGAGCAAACACCTGTTTCAACAAACACATATGCCTATTTTACTGGCAATAGTGAACAGAACAAGAAAGGAAAGATGGAGAGGAAGAGTAATTTAAGACAATATCTTCCCCAGGCCACTAATTAGCCCATTTAATGCAGTCCTCACTCATAACAGCTTAGTGCAACCGCAAACAAAGACTCTGAAAGCTTGCAGCACACATACTCTATCCCAGGCCATTAAAACCTCAGACCGGCGTTCCTAATGGAATATCTGAGATGAATTAACATACCACTTAATCATTAATGGCCACCAATAATTGAGGGATAAAAATGCTAGCTTGAGTTCTTGACATATTTCTCCCCTGCCGCATGTGACGCACTTCATAAATGAGCCCAAGTCTACAAACAGAACATGTTCTTAGAAGGAAAATGGTCCTTTTAAGTGTGTAGGTGGTGGAGCTTGTGGGTTGGCTTTTGAAGGTTTTTCGGTAACGGCAGTGGTTAGGATTTGTAGGGCAGAGCCTCGTACAAGATTAGCGCAAAAGGAGAACTTCTACCCAATCGCTTGGAAAGGTCTAAACAGATGCACTCATGGATAACCCTGTCTTGCTGCCTTTTCCTACAAAGCAGAGAAGAAATAAGTTGCCTGCCGGTGACGTTGCCTTGGAAACCAGTCTCGGAGGCACGTTCATACAGTGAAAGCGGACAGTGGTAGTCAGGCTCCTCAGCTAGCAGTTCGTGGCACTTTAGGCACAATGGGCCCTGCGCTTTCTCTTAATGATGATTCTAATGGGTCATAATGGCAGCCAGCAGGCAGGACAAGACATACAAGCTTGGCTTCTTTCTCATTAAAAAAGAGCCCTGTGAATGTCTCTGCTCATCTGGATGTCTGCTGTATGTAATGAAGAGGCTTCTTCCCAGTCTAGAATGTGGCCGTAATCATTTCGCAGAAAATATGACACAATGTCATTCGAAACGAGCCAGTGTGATGTCATGCTTCTGGCAGTGGCTGTGCGTGTCACCTGTGAAATTCTTGTCAATTTTTGGTTGTGGTAAATTGTTAATATGTCAACCTCACTGTAGACACATCAGAATATGGATAGGGCAAGTTGCCACATTAAAGATGTATGGCTTTCAATTTTCTCAATACATTCCATATTGTGACTGTTGGCCCTGAAATTCTTCCTTAGGATTCTTTTAATGAGGAGACGGTGCCAAATAAACTTGTAACTCCTTTAACTTTTGTTTTTGACAACTGACAGGCCTCAAGGCAGAAATATTTCCCTGAGACAAACAAGACCTCATTATCTAACACCAAGGTCAGTGCTGTGAGTGTGCCCGCTAACAACAAAACCAACTTCAGTGTAAATGGAGTAGATTTTTACAGCTTGGCCAGGATGATGCTAGGGGCTTGGATTATTGCTTGCTAGGTGTTCTGAGTAGTTTCAGTGTATTAGCATTACTAGGGAGCTGCTAGGTGGTTACTAGCTATTTACTTACTAGCCAGAGTAGCATTCTATAGACCTTTTCACCCATTTTATCCTCCATCAGGCAAAAATGTCATTCAGATTGCTAAGAACAGTAAGAAAAGTAAGAGTACACTTATATCTAACAAGTGTTTGATCATTCATGTCCATAGCACAAATGGTGCAGAAAAATGAATAAATAATAAGTAAATGAGTATATATAAATAAATAAGTAAATTAAAAAAATCATATGCACTATAATAGCACAGTGCAGCAACATAAATATAAAACAAAACCAATTATTATATATAAATATAATAATAATAAATAGGGTTAGGAGTTTGTTCAAATATAACAATTTACACTATTTAACAAGCACTCAAATTCTTGCCATTTTACGCCATACAGTTCTCTCAAGCCTCGAACAGAACAGCGTTTTCAATCTATATAATGAAACAGGCAAAAACAGAGACCCTTAAGACTGAGTGAAATCACAGTAGAGCGATTAGACACACAGACAAGAGCGCCCTCAGGAACACCCACAGATTTGTAGAGGTCAGAGGTCGCATTCTGAGGAGAGAGTGACACTCCCTTGGGATGTGTTGGCATCCCTGTTCACCAGATGACACTTCAGCAGACTATTGATCTATCCTCTCCCCCTGCTGCTTCTCTCATGGTACGATCCCTCAAGGGACTCTGGGCTCAACACGTGCCTACTGCGGTAGGAACCACCACCGGTGTTAGTAGGGGTGTGTGTTCTCATGACGGATGGTTCTAGCAGAAGCAGGGTGACCCCAGCATCGCCCCACAGCTGTCCCACTAAGATATCCTTGACCTTTGAACTCATTTCAGGCTCAGACAGCCGTCTTGGAACATCTGGAGAGCTGCCGTACTCTACCCATTATACACACACACACACACACACCGACATGATGAAAGTGCAGACAGATGGCTTTAGCTACCAGAGGAAATTATTTCTAGTGTTCTGAAAAAGAGTCTTACAGTCACTTTTCTAATCTACATATAGTAGGCACTTGAGTAGCTAATAGCAAGTAAATACTTAAAGAAATAAAGTAAAACATTTATTTGATCATTTATTCTACAATCTATATTGTCAAGAGCTTATACGTATATGAGGTAGCAAATAGGATCCAATTTGAATTTGAATGTACACTAAAAACGTCACGATAAAATATGGCTCAATGTACTGTTAAATTGAAGGAATTTTCCGTATTGTTTTTTTCCATAGGTGTTTTCCCGATATTTTGAATTACCCATTGTATTACATTGTGTTTTAGGATCAAAGGAAATGTCCATAAACTTGATGAAACATGTTTTTCCTAAAGATTCTTTTCTTACAGTGTAAGGAAGAAGAATTCAAATAAATCAACATTTAAACAAATATATAATTATGATATTTAACTAAAGTAAAATTTGTATCTCGGCTAGACAAAGCCTTTGTTTGAAAGTTCTGAACAATATTTGTAAAATGTTTTGAACAATCTTTTTCAAGGTTTCAAGGTTATTAAGAGAGAACAATAGAACACCAGATAAATAAACAGAACGGTATAGAATGATAGAACAACAAATATAACAATAGATGACAGAAGAAAGATAGACAGATAAAGTGACAGACACTGAAAATAAACACTCTTCTGCAGCTTGAGGGATT